GGTTATGCAGTAGCGAACCCCAAAACACAACAACAACGTGCAAACGCAATTTTTCTTGAGCCACAGTAGAGCAGAGTACATGTTAAGCTTCAACAGATATTAACTATTATCTAAACCGCTATAGTACCCTGAACCTCCAAGTAGCAGTGGGGCAATTTGCCCCTGGAACCTATATACCCCGCAATAAACCCTACATACCCGAACAAAAACCTGATACAAACCAATACAATCCCTATATACCCCAACATAAACCTTGCATATAAATATCATCTACCACTATTTCATCCATCTATACTAAAACCATATAACCCCTATGTCCCCGTCAATCCCTTAAACATGGGTATATTTAGGTTTGACTTACAATGATAATTGGCTTCTCATTACCCTGAACTTTGAGGTTAGCGCAACAGATGTACAGTATGCCCCTCTTGTACTACGATGAAATTTGGTATATGGTACTATAAGATACGGCCTTACAGCAACAAAAGATACCATATATGCAACATCTTCTTGTACTGCACCAACGTATGCTACATGCTTACACTTCGGTGAAAGTACCCTTGTGATGCATACCCCCAAGCCTGTCATGTTACGTGGGATGCCAGCAAAGCCGCTCACAGGGTCGTCCACGTTCCTGGATAAGCTCAGGCTTAAATAGAGGGTTTCCTTCAATACTAAGTAATTAGCTGCATGGCAGGAGTCGTACTATGGAGGACAACAACTATGATAACCACAAGCAAAGCTTGGATTGGGCCTCGACCCGAGGGACCTCTGGGAAGGACCCTCATTCCGAGACCCCATTTGTGGCTTTTTCAGCGCGACTCCCCACGACTTTCATGTTCGGGTTTTGGGCCAGAGAGACCTGAAGCATCGAAACCATAGGGTGCTCGCTGGTAGATGAAAGTCTCTGAACCCTAAACCTTGGGAGGACCCCCCACCCTGTCATAGTGGTACAATAGGAATTCTTTGAGGACCCTAATCTAATCCTTATGACCCCTTAGAGTCACATGGGGGTCCAACTAACCTAAGCCCTAAGCCCTAAACCCTATATAGTAGTGTCCATTTTCTCTCCCATTATCCCCATATTATCCCAATATAACCCTAATATTACCATCATATACCTTCAACCCTTAAAGTATTCATAATCTACTATAGTATACTATAATATAC